CCAAGAGGCCAACGGCATGCTGGAAAAACCTGCTCGCTGAAGAATGCACAGGCAGCTCATCTCTTTCAAATTACCAACTCACTTACGGGGAGTACTCCGCGTGACACTCGTGCCCCACATGCCCCACACGATGGGGCTCGTTGTTGGCCTCGTTGGGCTGTCGTATGTGCCTCCTGAATTGGAGTTTCTCGGTTCCGGGACTGTCGTCGCGGTCTCCAGCGTCTTCTGGGGTGCGTTCGGCATGGCTTCAGAAAGCTAAAAGGTCTGGGCGGCCCCATGCGGCCCCCGTTCCTTGTACGTCCTTGTTGCCCGTGGCCTCTCGGAGAGCTCTTGCTGTCGTGTTTGCTCGGACTCTTCATTCCTGCGGGTAGTTGCTCACCTTCAGTGGTTGTGGTGGGTCATGGTGGGTCAAAGTGAGGTAGGGCGGACATTGGTCCCTTCCATTGACAGGCCCTTTAATTAGGTCCATTGAGTCTTCACACAAGTCCCGGATCAGACCTGCCCGGCCCCCGAGAATTAAGTAGGAATCGATCCCTGAGAGTGTGCCGGGCTGTTTGGCTGGACGGGGAAGGCTGGCTTGTTGCTGTATGTTGCTGTCAATGTCGGTGGGCATCAAATTCGCTTCGATGACTTGTCATGAACATTTGCTCGCTACCTTTATCTGATTTCCCTTGCTACACTTGCAACATACAGGTAAAGCAGGCTTCCCTGTCCGACCGACTCTCTCTGTTTCTGTCTCTCTTTCGCAATATTTCTCTGTCCTACAACTCTGCCACAACTGGGGGCTCAGCCTCAGGTACTCTTCATAGGTGTCCAAGTACCGGTCCAGCTCTTTGCGCAAGTCCCACCATGAGGCGTCCAGTGCTCTCAACGTTGCAACGAAGGACAGCTCGCGCAGGTCGTCCTGCGATGCACCAAAGATCTGCTGCATGTCACGTCGGCGGCATGCGCAACATCGGGAACTAACCTGTTCAGGCAGTCCTGCAAGCCCTCGGAAAGAATGGACTGCCGCAGCCTCAAAGGGTTGACTCTTCCAAGCGCCATAAGTTCCTCAGATTTTCCTCAGCCTCTCCTGGCCTGCTCTTCGAGGCAGCCGTGCGGTAGATTCCCAATGTTCGTGTCTTTGCACGCAAGACCTTGTTCATGCTCACTACGAACGCCGCAGTCCTGCACACATCTGGCGACAATCAGAATACTTCCAGTACAGCACCTTCCAGTGTGGAGTTGAACGTCATAAGATGTTTTGTCCCGAACCATGGTTTTCAATCCCGTGCTACTATCCAAGCCTCGTTCCGCACTCACACGGCGGCTGCAACCATGTTCTGCAACGGCTTTTTGCGGCACTGCCCAGCTGGATTGGCCGTGAGCTCAGGGCGATACACTTAAGTGGAGCAGCGCTATGCTGATAAAAGCCTGCAAACTGAGGACTTCTCCGTGCCTTGAGTATCCTTTAGTGAAGCCTTCACAGGCAAATGCGTAATGTCAAGCATGAGCTGTGTTTCGGATGGGACGCTGCCTACAACATGTCGGTGCGTATGCTGACAAAGCGTGGGTTGCAGGTACCAGAGACGACAGAATGCATGCTTGCTACATCCTGCCACCGTCACGGGTGCATCATATTCATTTTCATTTTTTTATGTCATCGTTGTGCCTTGACAGATTGGCGTCTTCAAACACACTCAAACAACAACGGGCAAGGATGCTGGTGGAATCCTAATGCTATCGAAGAACCCGTGACATGCATCCTTGATCATCCTTAACTGAAGTCGGAAAGATCGGCCAACTCTCGTGTACAAATCATGTGTCCATGAGCTCGAGATTTAACATGCTGGCATTTGCCGCTGCCACACTTGCTGTAGTTCTCAGTTCTCAGTTCGCTGTCGCTCTTTCTTTCTTTCTGCAGGGCTTAGGGGTCAGCGTTGCCGATCCTCAGGCCTTTGGCCGCTCTCTCTCTCTCTCTCTCTCTCTCTCTCTCTCTTCTTTCCCCCGGGCTGTGGTGGGGAGTTGCCTCCCTCTCTCCCCCGGGCATGAGGGTCGGTCAAGACCCCCGGGCCACAGGCCCGCCCGCATGTTGTTCATGCAGGTGAAGGGGTGTGAGGAGCGAGCATAATACCCCCACTGACTAAAGTCATTTCATGGACATGTTCCCCCTTTACGCACTGACTGATGTTCCGTTTCGGCCATACTGAATGGGCAGTGGCGGAAGTGAGCGTCTCAGGGTGGACTTCGACTTTGTGACAACTTGTGCTATGGTCCCCTTTGCATGACGCGTAGTCCTTCGAGGACCACTATGTCAGAGATGGCGAGAGGAGCACGGTCCAAAGTGGCTACTCTCTCTCTCGCTCTCCCTCCCTCCCTCCCTCCCTCCCTCCCTCCCTGCAGCACTGTAATAGCAGAGAATGGCTGGACAGCCTTGTGAAGGCAGCGAAGGCTTGCACAGGCTTGTCAAGTATTGCGATTTCCAACAGCGCTCCTCCGCTCCACTGTGACCGCGTAGGACGTCTGAGTCTGCGCAGATGCCTTGAGTGTCGCCTTCAGCCGCCCCGTTTCTTCGGCGAGGAACTGCATCCCGGAAATGTTGCCGAGTTCTTGGCCGACCTGCGCAGGGCTGAAGTAAACAGCTTGGCATTTCCCTACGAATGGCACATCCCTCGCTCTGGATCAGATCCTTCGGCCTCTCTCGTTCCCTGGACAGCGGATTGGAACGCCCGGAGAGCACGCTGAGAGGCGATCTTTGCCGTGGGGTGCAGGTTCCGCTGGAGGAGTTGTCGCATCTCACGGACGTCCGTGGCCAGCCCGGCACGCATCTGCTGGAAGTCTTCGTGCTGCGAGGCTGCCAAAAGGCTGGCCGACTGAGAGCTGCCTGGGAAGTATGCCTGGAAGAGGTTGCGCCTCGGACAAGAGCGGTGGGGAGGCAAGGGCTCTGGAATTCAGCAGCGGCATACGATGTCACAAGCGCAAACAGCGGAGCCGAGAGGCATCTCCCGCTGTAGAACCGAAACGCCCTCTTCCAGGCTCGTGAGGATCGCTGCGTCGCCTTTCTTCACGGCGTCCCGAACACAGTGGAGGTCGCAAAAGGTCCGCGCCAGGCCGTGCCTTCGTAAACGGGTCCATCAATCGAGCTCACTTGTTGACTTGTTGACTCCCCATCGCACCTACGGAATGCTGAACAACTAGACCCAACGAGCCCACATAGAAGAAGCCATGTTTTTTCTTTTACGCGCCGAACCGAGCCGCCGAGGCAAACGAGGCAGTAGCCAGATTGGTTGGGTACGAGTACTCGTTAAGGCATCCAGCCTTCTGCGCTAATAAGCTCATACAAATCCCTAAACCTTTACTAGCCCAACTCCATCCGAGGCGAGGCGAAACAGCCTGTATCACCTCTCTTCGAAACGCCCAACACCCAATTCTTGGCTACTTGGTATAAACATTTGGGATCATTTGGGCTTCTTTACGGGATGCCCCTATCGAATGAATGACTCATTGAACAGAGGCGCTGAACGGAGTTGCAGTCCTCATTGTCGGCGGCCACGAAACGGCTGTTCCTTCCGATAAGCCGCTGGTTGTTGTTGACCTTTATGATTTTTCGGGCCACCTGAGCGAGAGCACAAACAGGAACAAACCAATCAGAATCCAATCAGCGATGAGTAATCTATAAACGAGCTCCTCTAGAACCACGTTGCTGGGAAACAAAGCAGGAAACTTCTGACAGTAAATCTCTCATTTTGGACCTAGGACCTAAGAGCTTGGACGTAATGGTTTCAGACTCGTGTGTTGTGCTTTTTGCCGCCTTGGCAACCGCGGACAGGATCTTGCCAGCCTTTATGGTGGGGCCAGGACTTGCAACGTCCACATCTGGTGTCGCCTCGAGCCAGTCCTGGACTTCCTCTGCCAGATCGTTGAACCATTCCACCCTGACAGCTCGCGAAACACACAAGAAAAAATGGCGCAGCAACCTGTCATGCAATTGTCATCACAGGCACTTTCGGTGCTCGTTCTGCCATTTGGCCAGCTGGAAATCACGGGCGATTTCACGGTCGGCACACTCCTGGACTTAGGGTTGCCAAACAGAAGTCGGGCAAAAGGATCTCTGTGAGGGTAGTGCACCTGCTAACCAATCAACTCTCCGAACTGTGCACGGGGAGTTCATGGTGGGTTGAGGGTGGGAGTCGGGGGCATTTTCGTCTGCTATCGTTTGCCTTCAGCCTTACGTTGCGAAAAAGTCTTTGTGACGTCTTCACGTTCCACCACTAGCAGCCCATGGCGGTGGATGCTTTCGGGCCGTTTTGTCTGGAGAATCTAGGTCCCTCTGCTTGGTAGCTTTCATATTGTTTCGGGTCATGTAATTAAACCTTACTTATGCTCACGCGCTTCCTCTTTGACTGTGACTGTCGGCACAACATGCGTCTGTCATCGCCCGTCCTTGACGGTCGTGGGTGTGAGGCCAGATTTGCCCGGCTCGTCCACGTCTCCCAGGTTCCATGCATAGTAGGACATGCCCTCGCCTTCGTTGTCGATGTCGGATTCGAACTTATCTCCATAGCCATCGATGTCAGGAATGCCGAAGAAGTTGTCCGGCGGGAGGCCAGTTTTCTTCTTCTTGGTTTTTGGAGTGCTGAAAACTAAGCCACACGGGTTGTCCGTGTCTTTGAGCTCCTCCGCCACTTCGTTCATGATCGTCTGATCAAACTTCTCAGAGCCTGGGTCGGACTCCTCCTTGCACTCAGGCACGTAGGCCGGATCCTGACCGCCAACTGTTGACTTTGGCCTGGGGCCTAGGGAGTCTGGGATCCTCAAGAGTACTTGTAAGTTTCTTTAGTCATATTGAATCATGCCAAACCATAATTCAGGTACTCCGCTCGATAAAGCAATCTTTTTCAGAAACCATTCCGCGACCCTGGTTTACAAGTTTTGGGGGCCGTGAGTGGGTCTAGTCTAAACTCAAGCCGTGCAGCAAGCAGTCCAAGCCCAGGCCGCCAGCTTGAAAGCCCAGGAAGTATTCTCCATAAACCGATACCCTCAAGCCTTACACTAGCGACTCCTGCAAGTAAATCGTGCAGTAGATTGAAACCTGGCCAGAATTTGGGATATGCTGTCCAAATCCGCCGACCCCTCTTGGGGCGGCTCCCGGAAGTTGCGTTCCATGGGGTCTTTTACAAATTTAATTCAAGCCCAGCCCTCCTTGGCCTGTTTTCTGCGTATTCTTCATGGTAGTTGAGTAATTTAATTCCACCCCAAAACCTCCAAAAGACATGCCGCCCTGCACCCCGTTCGTGGTATGGTATTTTGGTTGACTAATTTGATTCCACTCCAATGCATGCCCAACCCCTCTAAAAGATACCCAGCCCACGCCGCCCGCCGCCCCGGCCCTCCTTAGCCTGTTTTCATGGTATTTTGGTGGAAGTTGAGTAATTCCCCACATCATTGTGTTTTTTTGTTTGTGTGCCGCGCACCGTGCTCCTCACCCATCATCATCATCATCATCATCACCCTCACCCTCACCCTCCCGTACCACACACGACACCCCTAACAACATACACATACAGACACAACACATACACAGCACACACGCACAGACACACACACACACACTTTTACTTACACTTCACACACACACACCACCCACACACACACACACACTTCACACCACACACACACACACTCTCACACACACACACACACACACGCCCCTAACAACACGACGCAGTAACGCACGCCACAGACACGCACACGACGACGCATCACACATAACACAGCAGACGCACGACACATACATACACAACACATACACAACACACACGCACAAACACACAACATACACACACGATGCACACACAGCACTGGAAGACTGTAAACGCCACTAAACGCTCTCTCTCTCTAGAGGGTTCTGCGGAAGAAACGCGCGCCTGGGACCAAATCGTCTGGAAGACTTATAAATGCCACTAAACGCTCTCGCTAGAGGGCGCTGTGGGAAGAAACGCGCGCCTGGGACCAAATCGTCTGGAAGACTCTAAACGCCACTAAACGCTCTCGCTAGATCGGGGCTCTGCGGGAAGCAACACGCGCCTGGGAAATCGTCTGGAAGACTGTAAACGCCATTAAGCGCTCTCGCCAGAGGGCGGGACCAAATCGTCTGGAAGACTGTAAACGCCACTAAACGCTCTCTCTAGAGGGCTCCGCGGGAAGAAACGCACGCCTTAACAATTGGACCAAATCGTCTGGAAGACTGTAAACGCCACTAAACGCACTCGCTAGATCGGGGCTCTGCTGCAAGAAACGCGCGCCTGGGACCAGTGTCATGCCTCGTTTGGGGCTGGATTGGTTGTATAGTACTTTAGTACTAGAAATGCCTCGCTTGGCGTTCTGGCTGGATTGGGCTCACAACGCACACACCACACACCACACAATAACACACACACGCACAACACACACACAGAGACACATACAACCTACGCAACACACACACAACACACACACACACAAAACACACACACAAAACACACACACACACAAACACATACAACCTACGCAACACACACACAACACACACACACAAAACACACACACACACAAACACATACAACCTACGCAACACACACACACAACACACACACATCACACACGACACACACACACAACACACACACACACACATCACACACGACACACACACACACACACTCCACACACACACACACAGCACACACACACAGAACACACACACACACATCGCAGACAACGCACACAACAGACACAACACACACACACACGCACACACACACACAGACACTTGCAGACCAGTCATTTTTACCTAGATGGATGCTGTTTGTGCTAGATTATTACATGGCTTTCTCTTCAATTGCTCTCAATTGTTTCCAGTGCCACAGGGGGCCCACTGNNCACCATGCACTGACAGTGTCTTCGTTGGGCAGTGTCTGTCAGGCATGCACTGCCCCCCTGCATTTATTAGTTTTAGATCCTTAGAGACAGGACTTTCACACACACATCAGCGGGTTAACCCGGTAAATTAGCGAAGCATCAGAGTGCAGGTACTCGACAGTAAAACAGCAGAGGTCCTTGGAAACAGGAATTTTTACACACACAACACCGGGTAAAAACCCGGTAGTGCAGCACAGCATCATAATTGAACGCTTTTCACTTGCAAAACATATCAAGCTGCGGGTGAAACACTTCACGACTGCATGTCTACATCTTGCAAAGCAGATGCACTCAAGGATGGTTGCTGAAACTCGAGCTGGGTGATGACAACGTTAACAGGTTCGTTCAGTACGAAGTTCGAAAGAGGCTCCCAGAATCTGACATGTCGATTTTGTTGTTCGGGCTGAAAAGTAGACGGAGGGCGCCACGATCCAGTGAGTTCATGTACATGAGCACTGAGCGAGCGCTTGAGCAAGTCTACCGAGTCCCCATAAAGCATCGTGATATGCAGGGTGGTGGGCACGATGTTGGTTGTGGAGTGACTGTGCCCATGCTGCATCGGAACGAAATTCTCAGGGATGCTGATCTGGAAGCGCAATGAACTTCCGTCACCACTGATCTGAGCGGTGTCAGCGGAGCGTTTGGTCATGATGCTGCAGTCGGAAAGGGGTTCGGGAATATCACGAACTTGGGTCCCAAATCAGCGGAACATCACAGTAGAACCTAGATGCACTTAAAACGTAAGGCAAAGCAGCGAAATGTTTGAGAATCCACTTTTAGGCTGTCGTACAAAGGTGAGACGTTGTCACAAAGGGTGAGACTCTGGCTGGGTAGCTGCAATTTGTGTAGAAAGCAAAGCCGAAGGACTATCAAAATGACGAAGAACATCGTTCATAGACTGTTGGACAGTTTGTTTGTCCTCTTCAATGCGGTGCTGAAGATCCGCACGGACTTGCTGCAACTCAGCCTGAGTGTAACGTATCCACCTTTGGAGTGGTAGAAGCGGATCATGTGCTGAACCAATAACATCCGTTATCATGGCTGAAAGATTAAACCGAGGCAATATGTCCATCAACTGTGTGAGCATCAGGATGTTGACGACGAGTTTCAGCACATTTGCATGTAGGCGGTAGATCCCAGGACCACTGCTCAGCAAGTTCAATACTGTTGTAAATGACATCACGTAGTGATCGATGCTTCCCAGCGACACACTTCTTGTAGGGGAGGTGAAACGGGATCATGTAGTCTTTGCACTGAATAATGATGTTACTGATCCAAAGCTCAATGGCATCCTGAAAGGAATCATGAGCAAGAAAAGGTAGAACCAATGGTTTAGGACCACGGGGTACGGCACACTGACGAAATGTGAGAATACGTCGAAGCACTGAGCGGACAAATGTTTGTGGTGGATCATCCAACAAATTGCACATACGATAAAGTGCATATACTTGATGATTGTGAAACTCTGCACTTCTGAGTCGTCTCTCTGTTTGATAGGCTTTCACGCCTCGATTGGCGATGTTCATAAGCAATAGCCAGTTGTCATATGGTTCAAGCACAGTGCTCTCATACAATCGGAGCAATCCTAAGATGCGAAGCTTTCGTCGTACTTTAAGCCAAAGTCGTTTGCCAGGGACTGCCATAGCATGACTTGACAGTAAACGTTTGGGTAAACCGAGTAGTAGAGGTGGGGTTAAGTCGAACAATCCACGGTGCATTGAGCTGTGGCTTCCAAGAATGAATAAACGAATACTCCGCAGCTCTGGCTTCATGGGAGGTATCAAAGACATGAATCGGCAAAAAAACTGCATCAAAAAGATCACCATGGGTGTGGAAATAATGTAGCATCAACTCGGCATTGCAGAAATCTCCTTGCTGCAACAATCGAAATTTACGTAGACGAGCATCATGTCGAGAATGCACTGACACTGTAGTGGATCCAAAGTAGAACCTGCGGCGTTGTAAAAGAGCACCATGAAACTGATTCCACCCTCGCTTTTCCACCAATGGCATCAGGAGAGAGAATGTGGACTGCATTGCTTTGTTCAAACAGCTTTGAGAACTCCAACAAACTGACTCCCTGTAAATGAAGAAGTCGTCTCTTCCAGGTACGAATATGTAGAGCCTGACAACTGCTTCTGAAGATGGCTTGTACCAGAAAAAAAGCAGCAAGTACTCGAACTCGAATAGGAAGTCTCAATGCAATATATTCAGAAACATCATAACAAAAATGCAATAAGATCATGAGACCCTGCATGATAATACGAGAGTTGTCAGAGAACTGCATATTGTCCTGATTGCCTAGTCAGACATCACACAGTGCAGTGGCTGCAAGCAAAACTGTAACGAGCTCAGGACCTCGAATCTTCGTTGCTGCAGCAACAGTACATCCGAGATGCGACAATTTGTCGCGCAAAAGATCAATACGTTCTTTGGGTAGGCTCTTGAGAATCTCAGGAGCACGTGCAATGGCAGCCATGAGTTCTTCATGCTTGGTCGAGCCAATTGTCTCTTTCAGACGTTTGACCCAGGCAGTAGTATTCTGCTTGGTGTGTCCCATGTTATGGGTAAGCAAAACTCGCTCTCCCAAGTGCTCTGGATTGACTGCACGATCCACAATGTCCTCTTTCATCACAAAAGGCAGTGGTGCCTCTTGCTTCTCAAGCAAACGACGTTTCTTCGGGGGTTGAGCTGCTTCAGCATCCTTGCTGTTCCGGGCTTTTTGAGCTTTTAGCTGAGCACGGAGTGATTCAATCTCTTGCTGAGCAGGTGACGATGACGAAGGCATGGTGGAAGCAAACGAT